CCTTGACCTTCTTCCAAACATCCAACCAGTTCATTTCTACCTGGAGGTTGTAACCAAACTAGACACCAAGTATCTTGACTGGCCTGTCCATCCAGAGGAAAGACCTGGGAAGAGAAAATCCTTTCCATGTACCAAACCACAAGCCAACACATTGCAGTTGATCTTGGCCTCTGTCACCATATTGTACCCTCTGATCTCTTTGCCGACTTCATCAATCTCGGCTCTGCTTGACACAAGAATTGAAATGTTGTCAGCATAGGCAGAATACTTGGTCAATGTGGTAGCACTAGATAAGAAACTTACGATGGAAAGGTTCCAACACAAGAATGTACAGCAAGGGCGAAAGCGAACAACTTTGACAAATGGAGTGTGGCAGTATGAAAGGTTCTGAGCTTACCCTTTTCACTTCCACCAGTGCACTGGGTTTCACATACAGAAGTTGGATCCAGACTTGAAAGTATGGCCTGAAACTGGTTGCCACAAGAACAGCCTCCAGAAAGCGATGGTCAACCTTATCAAATACCTCAGACTGATCTAAATTGATCAGCACAGCTTCAATGTTGACTTGCTCGATTATCATTCATATCAAATGAAGGTTGTTCCGAATAGTCCTACCCTTCACAACACAAGTCTGCTCAGAGCCAATCAGACTAGAGAGGACAGCTAGCAAATAGTTGGCTAAGATTTTGGCCAAAAGTTTTAACTCTGTATTTAATATCATTAAGGGCCAAAAATTACCTATCCCATCCCCACTGCTTTTGCTTTTGCATAGAAACTTGATCACACCCCTGGTGAAGTATCAAACTGAGAAGGGCTCAGATACTCAAAGTAGTCTTGAAAAGCCTCACATATGTCCACATTTGTAGTTACGGTCCACTTATCTGGCAATGTGATACTTACAATATGTCAATTGGATGCATTTCAAAGTTCCTCTCAATTCAGCAGCCATATTCATACTTTTTAACCTAGCCCTAACTACCAGAGCTTGATCCTTTTGATGAGCAAGGAGGCCAGCACTGCCCTAGCTACAGCTACTTCTCCACTATCTCCAAATTTGATAAATTTTTACACAAACCAGGACAAGCCTATAATTTGTGTAAACTATAGAATGGAAACTTAAACACCCTAAGAGCCCTATATTGACTCACTTAACTAAAACTCGGTCAATGTAGGTAGAATGCACCAGAGAACACAAGTTGCCACTACTAGTCCAAGTTCACACTACATCTCAAGGGTGCTCATTTTGATACTTATCAACAAGATCAAACTGGCCGATGAAGTCACAAAATGGTTTTGCATCCCGGTTGTTAGTACATGATCTTTCCCTTGTATGATCTTGGGGTCAAGGATGACATTCCAATCCCCCACTAAAATTACCTGATGAGATGTCATCAAAACATACCAGGCTACTCCATAATATTGGGTGCATAAACCCCAATGATCTGAAGAGCCTTATCCTTTATCCTAACATCCAGCATGCAAAGTCTGTCTGCCTGATTTGGGAAGATAAGAGCACATGCTATATCCAAAGACTTGCTCACTAGTTAGAAAATACTTCTCAAGCAGCCATCAAAATATGCTAAGTAGAGGTGAAACCTTTTTGACAGAATACTCTCATGGTCGCCAGCTGAAAAACAGATCTCCTGTACATGACAAACATCCACCCTGAGGTGCTGGAGATTGTGAACAAGCCTTACTCCAACATCAGGCCCAGGCATTCATATTAGCTAACCAGAATGCCATTGTCAGTTCAATTAGGATTGACTCCCTGGATTGACTATGACTGGGGTAGGATACCAATTAATGGTTCCATTGAGCCTTGGTCCATCTCAGTCTTGATGGTGCCTTCAAGAGACAGGCTGCCAATGTCACTGGGGAACATTAATTTTAAGGCCCTATACAAAACAAAATTGTTTTAATTTCATCATTTGTTCAACATACATGTAAGCCACAGGGGGGGGGCAATAATTTCAGGGCAGTATTGGTCTCCTCTATCATGCCCCAAATGTACTAGGGACTGATCACACAAAAGTACACTTTTTGCTTTGGAAAGTTTTTGAGAATTTCATTGTTTTTCCCATTTATGTGCCCAAAGTTCCATAGACCTTTTAGGTTTCTTTAATTGTGCATTTGCGCAAATAATCTCTCCACTTGTTTCCAGGATACGTGGCAGATATCTTTCCTACGAAGATATGGTGGTTTGATTTTCTTTCTTTTTTTCCATTAATGAAACAGTTTCAAGAATTCTATTTCTTTTTACGGCTTCATTCTTTTGAATGATTATGAAGGGGTGGGAGTGGGTATACATGAGGGTGTTTGTCTGGGTGTATGATGTGGAGTGGTTTTAAATGGTGGTGGCAATGGTGTATTGTTTTCAGATTTTTTTCTGTTTTAACAGTGAGTTTGTGACTGATTTGGGTGGAGGTGGAAGGGCAGTTGTTTTCCTACAAGTTAGAGAAGACATGGCAGAGGATGAGGGACACTTCATTCCTATTTTGCATGGCTTGTAATTCCTTCTTGAGTTTTACCAGTTTCTCTTAATGTTGTTGAAGTTGGTGCATTGAGACAGTAGCATTGTCCATAAAACTGGTGGAAGGAGTGGGACTGTATGGGCTATTCCCTGAGGCCCCAATGTCTAGTGGTACCCTCTGCCCTTAACAATGACCAGCCATTCCTCGTTGTTCTTCTCTACAACCGCATGAGTAGAAGGCAAAGTGGTGTTGGGAAATGAGAGCCCAGAACAAAACCCAACTGGGAGTTTAAGCCCCACTGGCCCCAGTTGCTGGCATGCTTATTATGTGCTGACTTTTGTTGGCCTGATGGTTATATTTTTCTTACTTGAAAGTTTTTTGTTTTTTTCAAACACAAAATTGTTTTTTTCCATTGTATATAAAAAAACAAAATGTACTTTAACAATTAATATTTTAACAATAAAAATATAAGAATTAATGTAAAAAATCAAAATCAAAAACCCAACAAAATAAAATAGAAGCAGAAAATTTTGTGCGTAAACCAAAGAATAAATGAAAAGTTAAAGAAGCTGCTGAAAAGTTAAAGAAGCTGTAAAATGACACTAGAAAATTAAAACAACAGTTATAACAAAAAGAGACAAATATTTAAAAAATTGAAACTGGAACAAAAAGTTAGAATAAAATAGAAAAGCTTGAAGATAAAAAAATAAGTTTATAAGAGAGAAAAAAGTGCAATAAACTAAAAAATAACCAGTAGTAAAAAACAAATGTTACACCAGAAAAAAATAAAAATTTGGCTTAAAGCTGAGAAGAAAAAAAGAAAAAAACAGAAACAAACAAAAAGATTACAAAAACAAGACAATGTAATTCAAATAAATAAAAATAAAGTCTTAACTTAAAATTATTCCTTTAACAGTCTTTTTGGTTGATCCAAACAAACAAAAAATTTCACAATCCTAGATGCAATACCAGGTCTGTAATCAGTCACAACGAAGCTGAGTAAATCAACTACTCCTCAAATCCTCCTCTAATGTGGTTACTTGCCATATTTATGAGTAGGAGTAGTCCATTGTCACAGTAGTATGGAACAGCAAGAAGAATCCTATGCTACAACAAAATTTAGCTGCTACAAATTCTAAAAAAAAGGCAGTGTGTGCTTTTCATGTGATATTTTTTTCAGAATTCTGTGGCCCAAACTTATACATAAGTACATATTATACATAAATAAATATTATACATAAATAATTCCAGTAATTGTAAAAACAAAAAAAAAGACACTTATGTGTCTTTTTTACTCTTACAAGTCTTTTGACATCTCCCAACAAATCTGTTGTCTTTAGGCTCCAAAAGTCTTAGTTTTGTCTCCTCTGACAATAGTATATGTTCCTAACATATGATATGCTTACACTATTTTTATTTGAAAATGCTAAGTGAGATTTCAAAAAGAGTCTTGTAAGGTCAGAATACTCTATGCAGGGCTCTTGTAATAGTATTTCTTGTTGCTTTCACTCTAGTAGCATCCAAATTATTCTTGAGATCTTTAATTGTAAAACTTGTGCTATTTTCAAAAATTCTTAGAATATTATGTTCTATGTTGGCCGACAGTTTCTTCTTCATGGCATAACTGGATTTATTTGCCGCAGTATTTTCTGTCTTGAACTTTAGAATAAGATTTCAAACAGTTAAACCATCCTGGGTAAGACATTAAACTACATCCGCATCCTGGGTAAGATGTTAAACTACATCCAGTAGCAAGGCCTCTGATCAGGAGGTTTTGAGGAGCATGGAACCACCTTTTAATTGCTGGTGTTCCCAGGTCTACCCTGACCTGGGGTGGTAGCACCTGTTAGGGTCCCAGCTATGGGCAAATAGTTAACTATTACTAGCAATACTTTTTTGAAACAAATTATTACCAGCAATACAATTTTAAAGGAAAGATATTACCAGAAACAGATTTTTGACAAAACAAAATATTACCAGCAATAAAAAAATTTAAATAACCCATTGAGGTTGATATGCCATAAAACAAAATAAACCAAACCAAAGCAAACAGTTAAAGTTTGTAAATCATTTACTAGTAACATCATATCCTTGTTTGATTTGTAAACTGAATAATCTTGATTCTAATATCTAAACTATGTCTAGGTGTCTTTACCATTTGGTGGTACAATATTTTCATCCTGAAGAAGTTCTTTAGGATGTGAATAATTATAGTATGAGTGAAACCATTAACCTGGATTTTTCTGTTGGTTGGTTATTTTTGTTTAGTGGCATATCAACACCTCTAGGGGCTATTTAATATCAAAATCTAAATATTTTTCAATTTTATTTATTTTTTTGGGAGATAATAATTGTTTTAGTGATACAAGTATTACTAATTAACCCACAACTGAGGGGAAGAAGAGGTGGATTCATACATTTCCTAAAGATATGAAAAAGTGAATATAACAAATTTAACTGAAATAGGAACTTAGCTCTCTAATTAACAATTTCAAGTTATTATCTATTACACCACCCACACATCCAAGTTTACAGCACCTGGTATTCCCAAGTGGTGACCCATCTAGGTACTGACCAGGCTCAGTATTGCTTAATTTCAGTAATCGTACTGGAACTGATGTTTCAAAATGATGTGGCTGTAAGCCTTGATTTTTCTGGAAATAAATATTAATTTTCCTGTTTATACTTTTCTTGTGCCACCCCAGGCAATATCTCTCCTTCAGGAGGGGACTGGGGTCATTATCCAGTACTGGGGGGTCTTGAGCAAGTTTTCTATGATATTTCCAAAATCCCACATTAAAATCCCAACCTTGTGTCACATTTTGTTGTGACATGGGCATTCAAATAAATATCTACTTTTTGGGGGCCATTCATTCTGGACAAAACATTTTTTAAATTTTATTGTAAGTTGTTAAATATACATTGTAGAAAGGTATTCATGTGTATACATTCACCCACTGGTTATAACGGCTTCCATTTAAAAGAAGAATAAATTAAAATGCAACAATACTTAAAATTTTATTCTCCATAAAATAAAGGAGCCAATATTGTGCAAATAGTTTCAATCAAGAGAGTATATAGATTTAATAATAGTGACTGGTTGCTCATTTCTGTGTGTCTGTCTGTCTGCTAGGGAGGTTAGCCAATCTCTGTTGCAGAAGCCAGCTCAGGCATATTTGTATTTTTTCAACACCCATGGAGCTCATCTGTGGTTTATACTGCAAAAATTCTGAGCAGTCCTTAGTTACAGTTTCATGTCATCTAGCGTGATCAACAGCTTGGACATGGTAAGTATGCTCAAACCCTTGGTCATGATGACTTGTGACTTTGTGCTAGCTCAATCATCAATGAACAATTTCACTTATATAATCAACCTGTTGTATAGTTTTCAGGCACTTTCCAATGGTACTGCATTCTGTAATTGTCTTCCCAAGCTGATAACATCAAGAAGTAACTTTCTTCACAAATAGACTATGGTGAGAATTAAAGCTAGGTTTCATGGTCAGTAAGTATGGTGGCCATACTTTATATAAATATACTCATTAAGAAAAATATTATTGATGATATAATTCTCATCTTTTGGTTATCTTCAAGTGCATGATGGTCAAGGCTCTCAAATTACATGACTAGAATGTTCTTGGAGACACTGGACTCTTCTGTTAAGTTTTTTTTTATTGCCTGCGATTGTGAGCTCAATCTTTGTACTATTCTCTTCATCATTGTTTTTTTTTTTTTTTTGGTCAGAAACTTTAAGATGAAGTGTTGTTAATATTCAATGAATATTATAGACTATCCACACCTTTGTTTACATTGTTTTTTGTCAGAGATTTTGCCATTAGGTGTTGTTGATAATCAATCAATATTTTTGACCATTCTTATCATCATTGCTTTTTTTTGTCTTGGTTTCCAAATTGGGAATATAAAAAGAATCTTTTTATGGATCTTTTTTTCCCTGATTCAAATTTAGTCATTTCAAGTGCCTTGACTGTATTTTAATGACCTCTGAAAATAATGATGGGTAAGCTGATGTTTCCTTTTTAAAATCTTTGATAAATATAAAAACAATCTTTTTTCATAAACAGGATATTTGTAAGTGCTGCTTTCTGTCTTTATTTCAGGAATTATTTAAACAAATATCCTCCCAGCCACAATTTCCTCTTTTCAAATAATTTTTTGGTGAGTAAAATTGGTAATGATTTCTAAGCAATTCCTAAAATATGAACCTTATTTATAAATGATTAATGAATAATAGTTACCATTTTCTCTTCATTTCAATTTTGATTCTTTCTCACATTTTGTCTAATACTGATATTCCTTGTAACCCATTCTGGTGAACATTCTCATTGATATTAGCCATTTCATTAACATAATTTATAAATTTTTTCTTAGGATTTTTTCCTCATTTGAAGAAATAAGCATGTGTTGCTGCTTTATATATTATACAAAGAGCCAGATTTTGCGAGTACATTAATGCCCTGATTACAATGGTTATAAAATTAGAAAGACCTGTATAATGAAAATCTGTGCATATATGATTCATCAGGCAGAGTGATGATAAGACAGTGTCATCTGCATTTTGAAAAGAGGAATTGGGATGCAACCAATTTACAGTTGATGCTAAAAGGGAATATTGTTTGGAAATCATAAGAGGTGATGGGGTTGCTAAGCAACAGAACAGTTTTTAGTAGTTGGAGGGTTCCTTGGATACATGATTGATACCAGCAGTGAGTGAGTTGAGGTTTTGGGCCTTGAGGCAAGTGACCCTCATAGTAGTAGTAGTAGTAGTAGTAGCAGCAAGAAAGCAACAAGGGTTTGAACCCCATCTAGGAAGAATAAGCAATAACCTAACAAAAACAGCAGTAGGAATGAGTGGGAATTGATCCCTAAATATGATGAACTGTTTTTTTAGTGATGAGAAAAGGGAAAATGATGTATCCCTTTCCAAAGCACTAACAAATTTGTCTTTACTATTTTGAGCCTGTTAGTGTTTGTAAGTAAATAAAAGAAAGGATTTGGAGAAATCTAACAGAAAGTAGAAGGAGTCAAGTTTGGATATGTGTAAGGAATTTTTCCAATTGGGTGTGATGTATGTGTGCGAGCTTGGCAGTGTATAGAGTAGAATGAACAAACTCAAGGTTTGAAATAACTGCTCAACAGCCTTTATTCATGGTCAAAAGAGAGAGTGTGCAAAAAAATAGTGGAAAAAGGTTGGGCTTCCCAGTTGACAGATTTCTTCCCTTGAATAGATATTTTGGAGAGAGCGATTTCTTCATTTGTTTCCACGAGAAATCTAAGTGTCAAACTACTAGGTCTGGTACGGGTCTTCTGCAGTAAGAGTTGTGAGTAGTTTTTCCTTTGAGAAGGCATCTCAAAGGGAGATTTCTCTGTTTGTTCCCACTTGGAACAAGAAATCTCTGTGTCAAGCTGCCATGACAGTTTCGTGTCTTCTGTACCAAAGGTTGTGAGTAGTCCTTAAGCTGGCCTTGAAGGTAGCAGCCACTGAAATGGAAAAGAGGAAAAAGAGGCCAAATAAGGCTCAGTCAGCATTTTTATGAGTTCTGGGACTTTCAGTTGTTCTTCCATTGCTGCTACTGCTGAATTGAGCAAAGTAAAGAAGCTGCCACATGCCACAATAGCCAACAAGTGAGATAGTTTTATATATATAGTGTGAAATAAGGCTTTGATTGGATAGTTGGTAGAAAGCATGCAGGATGTATTTGTTCACTAGAGTAGTATAAAATTAACCAGATGTTCTGAGAGATGAGAAAAAAGAATTGTGATGATAAGTTAAAGAAACGTAAAACCTACTTCTTTGAGTAACCAGAGTTAAGAGTCAATTAGTCGGAAGGAATTGGGATTGTTAGTCAGTTCGTCAATTCATAGTCAAGCTGCAGTGTCAGCTGAACCAGCAAGAAGAACTATGAGCAGCAACAGAGAAGGATAGACATAAAATGTGAACAGGATATACACCAGCCCAGGTCCAAAATTGTAATCAGTATCTGTCCTTACTGTTCACTCTAGTATCCATTTAATGTTTTGAAAAATAAGAGGTCTCATTCTTTCAGCACATCCACATACACACACACACACACACACATATGCATCATATAACACTAGGTTACAAGTCTCGTAAACCCTAAGGTTCATAGAAGCAAATGTACTGCAGTCATAGCAATTCTGATATGTCTAGAACAATATAGCCTGGAAGCGTTCAGTCCTCTTCAGGTCAGTTTTGAATTCAGAGTTGTCCTTTTTCTAGGCTAGTTGCCACCTCAAGTCAAAAAGAGCACAGTCTGCTATTTAACCCATAGCTGGGAGAGTAGAGATGGATTCATATATTCTCCAAGGGTGTATGTACAAAAACAAACATTTAAACTTAGCTGGAATTTGAACTCAACTTGCTGATTTCTCTTTCTGAGTTGTGAACTATTACACCACCAGTACATCCACACACATACAAATAGCAATAAAATAAATATGAGGATATATTTTCCATACAATGTGTTGCACCCAGAGTTTTTTTTATATTGACTTACATTCCACTTCAGTTGCACTTAAATCCCTTGAAAGTTGCCTACTAAAGACACGATAGTGCTATTTGATCGGGCAAATCCCAACAACATGGCTAAGCCACCAATGATTGCCACACAACATAAAGAGTTAAAAACTCACCATAGATAAAAAAGAAATTTGTTTCCTCCATAAGATGCATTTTTATTAGAAAATAAAATGAGTTTCTGAGAAAATATACAAAACTTTCTTTTTTCACATTTGTCTTTTCTTGTATCTCACTGTCTGAGTTAACTAACCTCACTTTTCCTTCAATCCTAACATGTATATCAATCCTACTCACAAACCAGCATTCAACCACAAATGAATTTGAATAATACAACATCATTATTTAATGTCTTTAATTCGTCAAGTGGAACAACTAGGGAAAAAGTTTGAGTCTGAATTAATTGTGTGACACTATTTAGCTATGGTAATTGGCTAACTAATTAACCATAGAAATTAAAAACAGGAAAGAATTAAGGTGAGAAAGAGCTATATCAAAAGATAGACTGAGCGATGTTAAAAAGAAGATTTTATTTTATTTACGAAGAAAGATACTTTTCGCATGAGACAGAAAATGCGTAAGAAAAAGCGAGATATGAGATTCTGTCAAAACTGATTAATGTCATGGTAAGGGAATGACATGCCAAGGGAAAGAGAATTCAGAAAGAAAAACAAAAGCCAGCCAACACATGGCGGTCATAAAATTTCGGCTTGAGACGACTGATACAGGCAGAGAGAATCGATATTAGTTATCTTTCAGAGATATCATTTCATTTTAATTCCTGGGTCCAACGAAGGGAAATCGTCTGGTACATGTTAGAATTCTGGCATGAGAAAGAAATCGTAAAGGAAATTATTATTATTGCTTATTCAAACTGTTGATGTCACACACAGCATTGTCAAAAATGGGCATCTGGTGATAAGAGAATTTTAAGGCATGAGAAAAATAAAGAATTTGATTCCCAGGTAAAACACGGACCACCCAGTTAAAAGTTGATTTAGCAGAGAAGCCAGATGTAGGGTTTTGACAGTGATTGATGAGTCAGTAGAGTGACTAAGTGAATTTTGGGTGTCCCCAAAAGAAA